ACCCAAAAAAAAAAAAAAAAAAAAAAAAGACTAGTGCATGATGTTACAACATCAAATATCCATTCAAGGTGCAAGACAGACTAAAGGGTTTTAATGTAACAGAACACAAAATGTTAATTAGCTTTGTTTCAGTTTCTACATTTTCAGTAATTTTTAAGAAACGTGTTAGTTGAATTTTGGTGCAGTATTGATAAAGAATATAGTAGGGGTAGAGGGAAAGCATCCTCTCCATCCACTGAAGGTTCAATGAAAGCAGACTGACAAAAGGCCGATTCATAGAAGAAAAAGACACATAGAGCATAGTTAACGTGCATAGGAATGTGATTGATTACCCAATAACCCGATGAGGTCCAGATACTTATATACCCATCTTTATAAGTGAAGGAGTAATGGGGAATGTAGCAGTAAATGTTTTTCAGGGGAAATGAATGAGCCCAAAGAACAATGGCCTGGGACAGTTGCCCTAAGTTCTGGGGGAGGTGGTAGAAACGTGAGGGAAGTGATTTCACTGGGAACAAAAGTTGAGAGAAAGTCCCAGAAAGTATCTGGGAGCTGATCTCAGAAGAATGGATGAAGACTTTGTCTGGGCATGGTGTCTTGGGTTTAAATACTTTTAGTTTTTTCTCCAGTGGTTAATATTTTCTGGTTATTTAATGGGATTCCTAGGGGAAGGAATCCCATTAAATTAAAACAACTGCATTTTTCGGGGAAGAAGTTTTCTCAGTCATATAAGGAATTCTGTAGGGAATCCCTTCAGGTGTGTCAGGAAACAAGGGAGACTGGGAGGCGGGGAAGGGTCAGAGAAAGACCTGTGTTCTGAAGCTGATTTCTAAGGCTTTTCAGTTTCTTTAATTTAGAACATTCAGCTTGCCAAAGCAGTATATTTTGGGGTATTGTCTGAGCTTCAGCGATATTCAGTTTCACTTAACACATTTGTGTTTTATGAGGCCAGTTTCTAAAATACTCCTCCCTTTTTCAATTGCATATCTATGTGAGGCAAGATTTCCTGTTTTGAAACATGTATTTTACTTTAACCAAAATAACATTTGGCAACAAATTGAATGCAGTAGCAGGTATCTTCTATTGAGCCATATATTACATATATATTTTTTAAATGTGAAATATTGTAACTTTTCTCACTAATTTTTTTTCATTTTGGAAAATACAATTTTTCATAAAAATATGTTAACATGTTCATGGGTTATTGCTGTCATTTTAAAATTAATGGATATTTAATTTTTGACCTCATCTTAATTTCTAGTATTTAAATATAAATATAAGCCACATCAACAGAAGTTCTTTGGGATCTTCAGTAATTTTTTTTTTTTTTTCTTCCAGTCAGAGCTCACTTTGCCACCCAGAGCTGGGCACAGGCGATCCTTTTGTCTCAGCCTTCCAAGTGAGACTACAGGCACATGCCACCACACCTGGCTAATTTTTTGTTTGTTTTATTGTAGAGACAGGTCTCACCATGATGCCCAGGCTGATCTTGAACTCCTGAGCTCAGGTAGTCTTCTTGCCGAGGCCTCTAAAAGTGCTGGGATTATAGACATGAGCCACCGTGCCCAGCCTTCAGTAACATTTAAGTATGTAAAGGAGTCTGAAGATCAAAAAGTTTGAGAACAGCTATTATAAAAGAACTCTTTTACTCAATGTACTAGCAATATAAGTTCATTTATAGAAATGGAAAAAAACAAAAGACTAAGGAAGACATATAGTATCCACTATCGCACTGCCTAGAAAACCATTGTTAGCATTCTGGAACATTTTGTTTTAGGCTTTACATTTATTTCTGTTTTTGTTCATACTTTCTATAGAATTGGAATCATCATGCAGATGGTTTTGTATTCTTTTTTTAAATTTTAAGTAATAGTTTATCATAATTTTCTCATATAATTAATTTTTTTTTAAAAACATTAATTTTATTGATCTTGTTGTATGATCTTTATTGTATGACTGACTATACTATAATTAACTCAATTATTCTTCTACTATTGGACATTTAGGTTGTCTGTAGTCTTGACTAATATAAATAACTATTTGTAATAACTTAGATTAAGCTTTGCTCTATTTTCAGACATATATCTTTTTTTTTTTTTTATTTTGAGTTGGAGTCTCACTCTGTCACCCAGACTGGAGTGCAGTGGCTGCTCCCGGCCACCGCAGCCTCGACCTGCTGGGCTCCGGCGATCCTTCCCCTCAGCCTTCCAAGTAGCCGGAATTACAGGCATGCGCTACCACGCTTGGCTGATTTTTTTTGATTTATTGTAGAGATGAGGCCTCGTTGCCCAGGCGGGTCTCGAACCCGTGGGCTCAGGCCATCCACTCATCTCAGCCTCCCAAAGGCGCGGGATTACAGGCTGAGCTACAGAGCCCGGCTCAGACATATATCTTAAATACTCTTTTACAATTAAGGTCAAAAATGTTGTTAACTCAAACTATGGTTTTATTTTGTTTTCAATCAGTTTGTTCTTCTCCAGAGGAATCACATTTTAGGGGGAAAAATCAGTATTCTTTTCTAGTTGCCTCAAAGAAATTATCATTCTACATGAGTAGTTTCATTTTTAAGACAGCTTATATTGATCACTTCTGTTTTTGGACAGAAGAAAATGCCCAATTTATTATTCTTGCTTAGGATTCAAGTAGCTATGCCTGGTGCATGAAAGCTTACTTTTAAAGCAGCCAAAACAAGAAGTTGCTTCTTTTTTTTTTTAAAGGAAGGCACCTGGCTTGCATTTACATAGTAAAACAGACTGAAAAAAAATTAGTGTTCTGACTGCCTTTCTTCAGTCAACTTTTAGTTATTGAAGGGCAGGTGATCAAAACTGCAGGTTCGGCATGACCCTTCTTTTGCTTTCAACCTATTCCCTTCAGTATTTCCTACCTTTTCTTTGCCTGCTGCGAAATACAAGAATGATAAATAATGCCTGAGAAATTTTTCATTAATGACTTTCACTTACATCTGAGACTGTAATGACAAACTCTCAGTGTTATTGAGGACCTGGACAGCCAAACTACATAACTCAGCACCATTTGTGCCTTTACCTTTCTACCCCTATTTGGCAGATAGTCTTCTCCAAAGTTGCTGTTAGGCCTAAATGTAGTTTAGCTTGTATATACTTCTCAATTCATCCGTTAACTTTCAGCTTCATTCATTTTTGCATCACTTGAAGTGTAAATGTTAACAAATTGGTAATATTTATGAAAATAATTGAGATGATGTAGCAAAAGTAGTATCCAATTTGGAAAGTCCTTTAAGTGAGAAAGAAAAATTGTATTTGAATGAGAAACAGTGTTATTTCTCTCCATTTTAAAATTTATTTTTGTTTATTAATTTGCTTTTTTTTTTAGGACTCGAAAAATTTTTCCAGTGTTCACTGAGTCGTTTCCCCAGACTGGACTTTCAATAAACCACCAAAATATTGGAGGTATGTTTTCATGGGTAGAGTCATATAAAGAGAATTTGTCTTTGCCTAAAACTAGAAGGCTTAGTTAGACTGGTCTACCATCCTTTTTGTTTTGTTTTTTTTAAGAGATAGGATCTTGCTACATTGCCCAGGCTGGCATTGTACTCCTTGGACTAAAACTATACTTCCACCTCAGCTGCCTGAGTAGCTGGGACTACAGGTACATGCCATTGCACCTGGCTTACTATATATCTTTAAATATGAAATCAATGTGCTATTGACCTTGGGTCATGCTGCATAGAGTTATCTAGGGTAGCAGCTTAGGTGCAGTGAATACGTGCTACACCAACTGTGATTTTGGGACTCAAAATTGAAAACAATGTTTCTGTCTGTTCATAACATTTTAAATATGTATGTCATGCCTTTCTTGACTGCCAGTCACATAGGCCGGTTTTGCCAAAGTTTTGGCTGTATTAGAGAGTGACTATCTTTCTTCGAGGTGCCTCCTAGTGATTCCTGTAGAGTGAATGTCACGTGCCTTGTATCATAGTGTAGTAAATATCCATAGTATTCAATGAAACCTTGTACTATAAGAAAAAGACACAAGGCCATAATAAAATATTAGAAATTTAAAAAGCTCTGTCGTCTTCTATTCTGTTTCCAATACTATAAAGCAGTACCATTTTTTCCCACCACCAGCTCTTACAAGCACTTTTAGTGCCAAAGTTTGATCTATACTATTATTTGCTTATTCTTTTTTTTTTTTGAGTTGGAGTCTCACTCTGTCGCCCAGACTGGAGTGCAGTGGCCGCTCCTGGCCACCACAGCCTCGACCTGCTGGGCTCCGGCAATCCTTCCGCCTCAGCCTTCCAGGAGCCGGAACTACAGGCATGCACTACCACACCCGGCTGATTTTTTTATTTATTGTAGAGATGAGGTCTCACTGCCCAGGCGGGTCTCAAACCCGCGGACTCAGGCAGTCCACTCACCTCAGCCTCCCAAAGGCGCAGGATTACAGGCTGAGCCACCGAGCCCGGCTGTATTTGCTTATTCTTTTATCAAATATGTGACTATTGAGCCTACTATATGCCAGGGTACTAAGAGTGTATGAATGCTAAATAAACCAGGGATTCTTAATGAATAGCTGGCCTGTCTTGAAGCATGAAGATATCAGGATGAGTCTGAACATCCAGTCATTGCTGAAAAGCAAGGATGCTCTCAAGGATGTGTGGGGGCAATGCTGAAAGAATAAAGGGTTAGCTCTATAGCACTTCCACTGGCCAAGCTGTGACAAATTAAGTAGAGAAAAATCCCAGTAATTTATAGTTTGTGGAAATAAGTCTGTGAAAAGACCATGAATTCGTAATGTTACTTTAAAAATGTTGCATATACAAAAGATTGGCTCAATACTAAAAGAAAAGTGACTATAGTAGGATGTGTTAAAAGTTTTAAGGACTTTAGGAAATAAGGATCTGTTAGTACATGTGTGTTTTTTTTAAATTAAATACGTCTACTAATGAGGCATGAGATATTTTTGCTTACCACTGCTTAAGTAGAAAAAGAAGAAAACTGAAAACTTTAAGTCAAATAGTCTGAAAAGAGGAAAAATTGTACCAAAGAATGGAAGGTTTACCTATATAGTACCAGCAATGACACATAAAACATGTAAGAAGCAGGGTCTAACTATGTCCCCAGATGACAGATTTTTTAACCTGATATCCAATTAAGGAGGCTTTTCTGCAGACACTAGATCCTCGTCTCTTAGAAAATAAAAGTCGTAGATGGCTCTATCATCATGATACAATACTAAATGACAGGCATAAGTTTCTAATAATACTAAAGAATTGATCAGTGTATAATAAATGATAAGACAAAAGCTTTTGCAGCACTAACCAAGTAAAACTTAAACAAAGCATTCTGGGACAAAACATCAGATTGTAAAAAATAATCCTTTAGGAGGCCAAGGTGGGAGGATTGCTTGAGCACAGGAATTCGAGACCAGTCTAGGCAAGGTAGCAAGACTTTGTCGCTACAAAAAGATAAAAATAAAATTAACCAGGGATGGTGGCGTGTGCCTGTAGTCCCAGCTGTACAGGAGACTGAGATGGAAGGGTCATCACTTTAGCCCAGAAATTGAGGCTGCAGTGAGCTGCACTCTACTGTGGTCAACAGAGTAGGAGCCCAACTTAAAAAAAAAAATTGTGAAGCTTAGGGCGTTTACTTATAAGTAAAGCTAGATAATTGGCTGCTTAGGTTTGAATCATCTTGAAATAGTCCATTCCATGCCCCAACAAAAAAATCAGGTAGTTAGTAACCCCGATCCTGTCACATTGGTTGATCTAAGAAGTCTCACTCCTTCGCCCAGGCTGGAATGCCATGGCATGCTCACAGCCACTCCAGTGTCAACCTGCTGGGTTCTGGCAATCCTTCCAATTCAGCCTTCCAAGTAGGTAGAACTACAGGAGTGCGCTACCATAACTGGCTAATTTTTTGATTTATTGTAGAGACAAGGTCTTACCATGTTGCTCAGGCTGGTCTCAAACCCCTTGGCTCAGGCAATTCTCTTGCCTCGGCCTCCCAAAGTACTGGGATTACAGGCTGAGCCACCACGCCTGGCCAGATATATGTTTTCTTTTGGATCCGATAGAATTTCTGTCTATCGGATAGAAGGTATGAGAATAAGTATTACTTTAGTCTTAAGACGGTATAGGAATTAGTATAGAAATAAAGAAGAATGAATTGCACCCATGATGCTGTTATTTTAGAATTAGTTTAAGAGCAGTAATAAGTTTTATAACCGTTGTTTTGTGTGTGCTTTGTATTTTTATAAGATATTTGAAGCGAAAATTGATCATGTTAAGTTTTTAGTTTTAGTTGCTTAAGGGAATTTAAGTTTGTAGTCAATGTTTATATGTTAAAGAAACAGAAATTTTAAATATTCACTTCTTAAATATAGAAGTTTAGTAAGTTAACCATTACACAAATATATGTACACATAGTAATTGATGTTCCTTCCAGATATAAAAGACTTTGTGATTTTTAAAAAGGTGAATAATGTCAGATAGCCTAATATAACATAGGCTATGCCAAATATATCCTCCAAATGTAGTATAAATCTATTTAACACCTTTTATAACATGCGGTTATAGATAAAAGAGTCATGTTTATAATGCTATAGAGGTATCATCTTAGAGGTTGAAGTCCTTTTTGTTAAGGATGTATTAAACAATCTGAGATAGAGATGTTATGGGTGATACTCTGCCTTGGGCATTCTTTTTTCTCTCTTGGGTTTTGACCATGATAATGGGTGTCAGTCATAGTTATACAAAAGGTTCATTTTCATTGTTTTCACACCCAGTTCTAGTAATTATATTGAAAAAACAGGGTTCTGTGATGTCCTGTACTTGCTGTAGCTCCAATCTCCAGTCTGTTTGACCTGAGAATCAGCCATTAATGACTTGTGATGCTTGCTGCTGGTATCTGTGCAGTGTTGTTACCACCCTCTTCGAACTTCTGAGTCACAAGTCTTATTGGCTGTTCCTTTCAAAGTGCCATGTGCACCAGGGTTATGACTTTGTGGTGTTGCTTACTGCCTTAAAGCTGCTGTGACTAGAGACCCATAGAATTGGTAGTTCCCTTCCCTTCTGGCACTTCATTGCAGCTCCCTCTTGCCTTTAATCTACTTAGAGTATTCAGAACAAGATGCTTATTTTATTATGATTCCAGACTATAGGTTAAATCACATATAAATAAACTATTAAAGTGGTTGCTCTTATAGCTGACTCTGTTCTAACACAGTCCTATCTCTTTCTCTCTCTCAATTCAAAGGGTAATTCAAAGTATAGAAAGATAAAAATAAGCAAACTGTCTTAAGTAAGTATAATAGCCTTAAAATGCTGTATGTAAGTTGAAATTTGTGTGTAAGTTAAACCTAGCTTCTGTGGCCATTTTCTTTGTATTTTAGAATGTTTCTTGTATCATTACATTTTGTCTCTCTCAAGTGATAAGTAGAAAATTTACAAAATTTGTTAATAATTTATTAAAGGATAGACAAGAATTCCTTTTGTATTTGTAAAAACTTTAAATTAAATTTTGTAGTTAGAAAAGATAGTTCCTTCTAAATATGTATCTTTAATATAGTACTCATATTACTATAAAATATTTTATTAATCAGGTTTTTAAAATATTAACTTTTGGCATAAAAGAATGATCATTCTGGTGATGAAGTTGTTAAAAACAACATGGGAGACGTCTATGAGAGTTCTGTCTTTACAAGTCAGAGGAGGAAGAGGGTGAAATCGTTTTCTTTGTTTTATTTTTGAATTCTAATTCCCCAAGGATCTGAAAGTTTATTACAAAAAATCTTCTTGCAGTGATAGCTGAAATTACATCTATTGTTTTTAAATGTTTCTTTCATTGGTATTAAAATTTTAAGCAACTAGGGATGTAAAATTTTAAATAAGATACAGATGGTGAAATATATCATCAGTGCTTGGCACAAAGGATTCTTTTTTTTTTTTTTTTTTAAACCCTGCTCACCTGGCATCATGTCTTCTCTGGTCTATTTGGAAAGTCTGCCAACCCTCTGATCTACTGTATACACTACTACCAGATTGTTTTTCTTTCTTTTTTTAAATACATATTTTTTTAAATTGCGGGGTACAGTTAAGGGCTAGGTATACAAATATGCATTGTGCAGGTACCCTTGTTGATGAGGTGTGCCCCCATCCCCAGATAGATAACGACTGCCATTAATCCCACCTCCCTTCCCCTTCCTGCCCCCCCCCGTAGTTTCCCGCCACTGTCAACCCTTTTCTCATAGTATTACCATAGTTGTTCAGGCACAAAGATTCTAAAGCAAGGATTATTTATTCTTAAAACTTTTCACTCATCATCCTGTGAGAGTAGAATGCCATTATTTTAACTCTCCTAACTGATTTTCTTTTTCTTTTGAGTTGGAGTCTCACTCAGTCGCCCAGACTGGAGTGCAGCGGCCGCTCCTGGCCACCGCAGCCTCGACCTGCTGGGCTCTGGCAGTCCTTCCGCCTCAGCCTTCCAGTAGCTGGAACTACAGGCGCGTGCTACCACGCCCGGCTAATTTTTTGATTTATTGTAGAGATGAGGTCTGACCTGCCCAGGCGGGTCTCAAACTCGCGGGCTCAGGCAATCCACTCACCTCAGCCTCCCAAAGCGCTGAACCACCGAGCCCGGCTCCTAACTGATTTTCCTAGCTTTTATCATCAAAAGGCAAAGGTGAAGTGAGGGGGAAAAAAAGAGAAAGTTTTGTTTCGTTTTAGAATATGAAGCTCAGCAAGTATATTTATGCTTATTTTTCCCCTAAAACACCTATCTCACCTGTGAGGATGCATTCTGAGTTTCAGCAGATATGACCTGCTTTTATGCTAGCTATGTAGGTATTATCTCATCAAAAGAGAACAAAAGAATGATTCGGACATGCACTTGAAATGCCGCTGAGTCCTGAATTCCCACCCAAGTATGCACCTGAGTCCTGGTGGTGAAAGTAGAAGGCAAAAAGGGTAGAGCAGGAGAAATGTCTTTCCTTTTCCTTCCCTGTCTTCCTTCAGCTTCGCAGGGTGTGAATTGCTGTCTGTCACCTCTGCTCAGAGTGCGTAGGGTGAGAACAGACAGTGAAGTTGAAGTCACAGAGGCAAGGCTCAATCCTCCATAGTTTCTAGGAGGACCTGGTTCCTGTTTGTGTCTTACTCCATACAGCATGAATCCATTTAAGCTCTGTTGCCTGTAATGGAAGAGAGAGTGACACTGAGAAACTAGGTTTTTCCTTGTGTAGATACAAATATTGCACTTAGAATAATTCAACCAAAATAAAGAATTAGAATGGTTTTCAGCTAAAATAATTCCAAATAATTAAAATTATATTTGGATCCATGTCAAATATATTTTTAAGAAATGGAAGAATATTATAACTTCATTGCCAAAATAATAATACTTTTATATCAATAAATTTATGTATTTGTAAAATGCTTGATGTGTCACTTGAATGTTTGAGGGAGTTCAAGTTATATAATTATGAAATGCTGACTGAGGAGGTATGTTTTTAATGCTTTAATAAAACTGCAGTGAAAACATATTATTCTTTCCTAGGACCTGAGACTGAAAATTCTGAAGTTTTGCCACACCTAGGAAAGGTTGGTTCATAGAACAGAGATTAACTATGTAGATTGTGGATTTAGGTTAAAATTATGTTGATTAAAGCTCATTTAGAGTCTCCCCTAGTCAAGAATATGGCTAACCCATTTCAATAGATAGAAATCTATTCTTGTCTAATCTCCTCTTCCAGTATTTATTCTTTCTTACCTCTAATAAACTAGTGTTTTTTTGGTCTGTGTTTCTTATCCAGCACTGTAAATGTCTTATTCTTTATCTAGAGTAGAAATATATAACTTTATCAGACTAGTTCCTGAAATGATGTAACAAAATTCTGTCTGTTGGTTTGTCTGTTACCCTAATTCTTTTAATATTTTGTGCTAAATACTGCTTTCCCATCTTTCAGTTGCTAATCAGTTGCCAAGTGCTTGCTTTTGTCTTTGCTTTCTATGTGGTGCTATGAGGGAATCAGTGGACTATTAGACTGGCTTTGTCCACAGGACTCATACGCTCCTTAGGGATAACAAACAATTAAGGACCTCCCCAGGCCAGCCCAACCATACCTGTAGCCTGCTTTATCTTAGCTGTTCCTTACATATTCTCACCTCCATGCATGTGGTTAAATCAAGAGCCAGAAGACGGGAAAAACAAAATTTGGCATCAGATAGGTCCAAGTTTCAAAGATAACTCTGTCGTTTACATCTGTAAAATACTGGCAGCAATACCTGTTCAGAGTTATTGTGAGAACTGAGCGATGATGGTTCATGGTGTTTGGCACCTAGTTGGTGTTCAGTAGGTATGTGTTCTTCTATTCTTTTATTCCTTCACAAATCCTTGATCTTTGGCTCAAGGCCCCTTTCTTTTGTGGGTCAATTTGATAATGACTCTGGTGCTCTTGACCAAAGTAATTGTTTTCTCTCTAGCATTCATTATTCACCGACTATATCAGTATTTTCGAATCACTTGCATCCTATGACACTAATAGATCTTCTAAGAAAAAGGATTTTTTGGACAGAGAAATTTTGAGAACACCATGTCCTGCAGTCTCCTCAGAGATTTACAATACACATATTCTGAACAGTTCTGTTGTAAAGTAACTTGTTTAACTTTGTTCAACCAAGCATTTTCAATCATGAGCATCTTCCACAGCCTCCATTTTTTCCCTCCAGAACACTTATTTTTGCAAGACACTAGATGTATGTGTTATTAAGAAAATGGACTCACTGCCTGATGCTCATAGAAGCCCATAATACTGCACTTGAGAAAAGAAAAGCTTTATTATGAGGCCAGCAAGCAAGGAGACAGGAGGTGTTGCTCAAATTTGTCTCCTTGATTTGGTATCTAAGTCAAGTTTTAAGGAGTTGGAGGGCAAGGGAAAGGATTTAGGAATGTTGGCTTTGCAAGATCTGATTGGAGGGTTTCAAATTTGACCATTTATGGTAATGTATGTTGAGGTAGATTTCAGCCCCAGATCCTCTAGACCAGTGGGCCCCTTGCCTCTAAATGAGTTCTGAAAGTCTGGCAGTCTTGTCCTGGTCTTCTTGGTTCTGCTGGGGCCTGGGGAATGGATTTCCGGATATTACTAGAGGTCAAAGCTTTTTCTGTTGTATGTGCCCAGGCCACATGCCTTGCACTTTTCACTCTGTTGTAGTTATAAGACAACTTGATACTCTGTCACCAACATAGTAGGGCCTGTTTGAGCTATTTCTGCTGTTACAAATGGAACTGTTTGATACACCCTGGTGTATTCCATTCATTTGATTACATACATGTTCTAGGATATTATTTGTATGCTATTCATTCATTCATTTATTTGTTTATTTATTTATTAATTTGAGTTGGAGTCTCACTGTCACCCAGGCTGGAGGGCAGTGGCACGCTTCCGGCCACCGCAGCCGTGACCTGCTGGGCTCAGGAGATCCTTCCGCTTCAGCCTTCCAAGTAACTGGAACTACAGGCAGATGTCATCATGCCTGGCTAATTTTTTTTGATTTATTGTAGAGATGAGGTCTCGCCAAGATGTCCAGGGTGGTCTTAAATCCATGGGCTCAGGCAGTCTCATCTCGGCCTCCCAAAGCGTTGGGATTATAGGCGTGATTCACCCCGCCCAGTTTGTGTGTGATTTAATGTCTTAATTATTTATGCCTTGAATCTTCAGTTAGAAATTAATTTCCTTTAGGACAGAACCCAGTGTATATACTTTATTACATATACTGCCTTGAACTTACTAGACATGAGTACTTAAATAGGAGGAAGACCTTGAGCTGTGACTTACGGAATGAGTAAGATTTGTTTCTTACATTTCTTCCAATTCCTTTTATTTTTAAGCAAATTACAGTTAGCATTATTAATGACACAAGGAAGAATAAAATGGTTTTCGCCTCTCTTATTTAAACCAGATCAGAATATTTAGAAGGCTTATAAATTACAGTGCATCCTGTCAAAGAGGTGGTGGATTTGATTTTTGGAAAAAGCCAGTGATTGAAACACATTCTGTTATTTAAGACCAGTCAAATGAACAGTTTTTAGTAATAGAAAAAAGGTTATGTCTTTAAAGAACATTATTTTCATGAATATCCTGTAAACTGATGTTGGTAGCAACTGGAAATATTTTGAGCATTGGAAAAAATTTGAGAATTGGTATACTCTGTTAAGGTGACATCTTTGAGTGATAATAATCATTTAGAAATGTTAAATTTTGTGGGGTTTTTTGTTGTTGTTGTTTGTTTAAAATAGTCACAACTCAGAGCCATTGACTTATAGCTAAGGCGTGTAATGTTGATATAGCACCATTCCCTCATTTCTCTTCTTTTTCCTCTCTGGTCTCCTGTCCTTTCTGGCCTCTTCTTTAACATTTACCTATTCCTACAAAGGTGGGGAATAAAATGATGGTAAAATGACACCAATTTTGTTCCTAGTTAATAATCTCCATACAACCAAATAGAAAATTTTGGTAAGGGAAAATCTGATAAACACTAACTGCTGTGAAGGTTTGAGATCATTTGTTAATTTAACTGTCTGTGCCATCTCTGAATCTTGTTAGCACAAATAATGTAAATTTAGCTAAATAATTTATCATCTGTAGTTATGGGTTAGCCAGTTTTACTCTTGGTCTACTGCTAAATGTTTAACCATGGATTAAAAAATTGGTATAGGAGAGTAATAAAGAGTATTCGTTTTATTTATGAAAGGGGAGGAAAGTTGATAAAAGTTTTTGAGGATAACTATAAACAAGATACACCTTGAAACTATAAAGTTTTTATTTTAAATATTTTATTGTACATGCTATAATGATATAATTTCTATTTGGAATACACAGGAACTAGGTGAAGACACAGACTCCCCTGAAGTCAGCCTTCTCTCAGGTACTGTTATTACAGTATCTGATATGATTGCTATAAAGGAGAAATCATTAATAGAGCCAGAGAAGATCTTAGCAGCACCAGATACATTTTCTGAGCCTGGAAAGGAAGTCACATTGACCATGTCTTCGGAAGAAACTAAGGTTGAAGAAAGCTCTCTTGAAACTTTTGTGTCTGCCTTAGAAAGATTACTGACATCACCGGAAAGCAGCCAGGAGGAAAGACTGTTTGAAATAGTGAAAGATTTTGATCCTAAAGATTTGATGAACCCATTGAGTGACTCTCTGAGTTCCACATCAGTACCTTTGGATGCCTTGTCGGCATGTCATAGAGATTTACTAGAAAATACAAAGGATGATACATTGCCAGTTGAATTATTGGCAGCCCTGAACACACTGTCAGAAGCCAATGTGGAATCTATATGTCATGGAAAAGAAAGAGACAACAGTCTCATTACTGGGAATGAATGTTTAGAAGTGGAGTTTAATATATCTCAGAACAATGAAGATTTGACACAAATAGCAGAGGTAAATTTTGAGACTCTTTGTTCTACTCCACTATTTGATCCAAGTTCCAAGTTTGCTAAGATACAGAAAAAGCATCTATCAATGGAGCAAGTAGGTCCAAGTATGAGCCTATGATTTTGCCTTTTATAGTAACCTTTAACATGTTTTCGTTGTGTTAAATTCCAATCTTGTACCCAAATATCAACACCCAGATGATGCTTGGTGACTTTGAAGCATACAGTGGTCTTAGAAGTTCCTGGGGTAGAATTTTCAAGGAGTTAGGAAGTTAAAACGGATAGATTTCTTTCCAACAGACCTGAGATGATGTCATTAGATTGCTTATATGTAAGGAAAAAAATTATTTACCAGCATTTTCTCTGTTAGCTCAGAAAATCATTGTGTCTACCTGGGTGCAGAGCAGAGGTGGGATGCCCCCCATTTATTTATAGTTGAACATAGAATATATGCATTTGGGCTTCCAGGGGAGAGAAAAATTATGCCTGCTTAAGCAGAACTTGCATTCTTTGTCAGAGAATACTGCTAGGTTTAGAATTCCTGCAGTATTTACCTAGAGGCCCTGTAATGCTCACTCACTAAGTCCCTTTTTCATATTTACAATTTTTAAAAATAATTTTTGAAATTAATTATTTGAAATTACTTTTTTTGTTTTGAAAATAATTTTTGTTTTTTCCTGATTATAATAGTAATGCATCTTAATTATAAAAAATTAAAACATTACAGAAATACATAATAATATAGTCACAAAAAGTCTTCCACATTTCTACTCTTTAGAGATAGTTGTTGTTAATAATTTGGTCTATCTGTCTCCAATATTTCTATCATATTCTATATAAGTCTATTTTATACAAATGGGATTATATTATATATAATGCTTTGATATTTATTTTTGAAATTTAATAATATATCTTGTTTATCTTTCAGTGTCAGCAAATGTATCACTATTTAAGCCCTTTAACTTACTGAATGGTATTTCACTGCATGAATATGTCGTAATTTATTTATTTATTTATTTACTTATTTATTTATTTTATTTTATTTTTTTGAGTTGGAGTCTCACTCGGTTGCCCAGACTGGAGTGCAGTGGCCGCTCCCGGCCATCGCAGCCTCGACCTGCTGGGCTCCAGCGATCCTTCCGCCTCAGCCTTCCAAGTACCTGGAATTACAGGCATGCGCTACCATGCCCGGCTGATTTTTTGATTTATTGTAGAGATGAGGTCTCGCTGCCCAGGCGAGTCTCGAACCCGCGGGCTCAGGCAATCCATTCACCTCAGCCTCCCAAAGGCGCGGGATTACAGGCTGTGCCACTGAGCCCGGCTTGTTGTAATTTATTTTTAACCAGTTCACTAATGATGGTCATTTGCATTACCAAAATGTTCCTATGAACATCCTTGGGAAGATTTAGATAACATAATTCTGACCTCCTGTTATAGCATACAAACCTGGAATAATACTGCTTGCAGTTCTGGTCAGCAAATCTCAAAACTAACATAATAGGATTTTTTTAAATCCAGAAAAAGATAAACTAGTTATGGAGATAGGGCATGAAGATCAAACATCCAGTGCTCTAATCTGAAAAGAGAGAATATGAGTAAAGTGTAAGAAATTATTTTTGGTCTTGATAGAGTGAGGATGAACTCAGCAGGTCTTCAAAGGGAAAGAAAAAGGAAATTCTTTTAAAAGTAGAAAGAAGACTTACTTAGAGCAGATCAAATTAAATACTGTTGCTCAACTGTAATAAAAGTATGGAGATTAGTACCTTGCAATGCTTTGCAAGCTGGATTTGTAAATATGCTCAATAATTGTTTATTAAGGGAAAGTTAGAACAATTCCGGGTATACTGTTAACGGTTTAAGATCAATGCAGTGGAGTTTTTGTACTGTCTTGTTTCACAAAACATTACTTACTGCTACTGTCAGATAACAAAATACTATACTGACTAGGCCATTGACCTGGTGTAGAGTGGCATTTCTAATTTTTTTTTATGGCTCTCTGATCACTGTCTTGCCAAGTTTCTGCACAAAGTCCCCGGAGTGACCATAGGTCTGCCCTGGAATTTTCAAGATGAACATTGATCAAAATCATTTTTACTTATGCTATTATCCTAAGATTGTATATCTATATTTTCCTTTATCATATTAATCATTATAAAAAATTTAATTATGTTCACATATTCCTATGAGTTCTGTACTTTCACCTTATAAGAGATATTTTAGTTTAATCAAAGGATAAGATAGAATTGAATTTCTTCTAATTTTAATTTTTTTTACAGTGTTGTAATTATTTGTGGATATATTTATATCTTTGCAGACTTTAGAAGACCCAAATCCATCTGGATCGCAAACTTTGGCCTATCAAAATGTCACCTCTTTTGAACCACTAAATAAAAAGGGAAATTCAAATTCAGTGAAAAATAGCTCAGACCAGGAAACTGCGCGCGTGTTAAGGAGATCATCTAGACTGGAAAAACTGAAAGTAAGCAGAGATGCAAATGGAAAGTACACAGGTGACATGTGTAAGATGCCAGAAAAGATTTTACCAAAAATCCCTAACTGTGAGGATCTAATAAATAATAATTCTTCAGCTGAGAATTTCAGGTATGCTATCAAATTGTGTCTTTGTCTTCCGGTATGCTGTAGACTTTATAGATAATTATATGCTTGGGGACATTGGGGTCAGTATACAGTTAGTGTGAAGTAAGAGCTTTATTTTTTTAATGTTGTTGATTTATTTTGCTGTTTTTGATCAGTGTCATACCACACAGCAAGCCCCTTTTTCTTGCACAGAGCATGCCTCTTTTTCCCTAAAGGAAAATAGGGTGAATGGTGGCATGCAAACTTGGGTAGTAAGAGGCAGGAGATTCAGAATACTCACACTTGTAGGTGACTACTCCTAAAGAAGAGAAACCCACAGGTGGCACAAAGAGAGGGCTAAAAGCTGTGACGATTGGCATGCTTGTCACAGAACTATCTGCAGTTTACTCAGGAGCCATTTCCCTATTTTAAACTGCCATGTTGTTAAGTAAAATACTTTTGAGTTTTAAAATTTTTCTCAAAATTTGGTGTGCTTCTCTGTGAATGCTTGTAGAAACCATTAGATAGTAATTTTAAAAATGCTTTTCAAGAATGCAGGATCCTACTTTAATGACTGAAGGTAAAGAGAGGACTATGCATTCATTCAAGAGTGGAGAACATATCAGGAAAAGCAAGCAACTTAGAGGAAAAAGAGGTGAGGCATATTTTGAGTGTTTTTTTAAGTAATTTACAGAAACGCAATTTTGGTAGAAAGGATTCAGAGATTATTGATCTCGACTTTCTCATTTTAATGGTGATGAAACTGAAGTTCAGAGAGTTTAAGGATTTTCCCCAGCATCATCTAGCTCATTAGTAGCATAACTGGAATTTGATTGTGAACTTCTGGCTCACAGCCCTGTGTATTTTTTCTGCACTTCTGCTTTGCAGAGAGTACTTACAAAACTGTTTTCAAATTTAGATGTGTGACCATTCTAGCATAAGACATAAAAGCATACCAGGAGGAATAAAGGAAAGAACAAGACAAAATGATTACTCTTAGGTCTTATTTCAGAACCAAAATCTCTTAGAAACGATAAGGGAATCTAGAAACACTTTTCAAAAAAATAATAGAGGAATAATTGGGAAAATTGAAATTTGGGCTATAGATTAAATAATATATCAGTATCAACTTTGCTTAATTTGATAGTCATACTGGGTTTATAGAGGAATAAGTTCTTGTTCTTAGAAATATATAATTAAGTATTAGTAAAAGGGCATGATATATAAAAGTTACTGTTTATATATGTAGATGTATAGGTACATATGAATTTATACATAAAGTGAGAAAGTGATTTAAAGTGATGGAAAAATGTTAAAGGGTGAATCCTTTGTTCTAGCTATAACTTTTAAGTCTGAAATTAAAATGAAAAGTTTTTAAAAATGTAATAAACCGAAGACAAAAATGAATACTATGTTTCTATTAACTTGTTAGAAAATATGAGACAATCTCATTTACAATTGTTCCAAAAAAGAGAAAATGCCTACTTATGTAACTAATAAGAAATATACCAGCCGGGCTCAGTGGCTCAGCCTGTAATCCCAGCACTTTGGGAGGCTGAGGTGAGAGGATTGCCTGAGCCCGCGGGTTCATGACCCGCCTGGGCAACTTGGCGAGACCTCATCTCTACAAAAAATCAAAAAATTAGCCAGGCGTGGTAGCGCACGCCTGTGGTTCCAGCTACTTGAATGGCTGAGGCGGAAGGATCGCCAGAGCCCAGCAGGTTGAGGCTGCAGTGGCCAGGGGCAACCACGGCACTCCAGTCTGGGTGACAGAGTGAGACTCCAACTCAAAAAAAAAGAAAAAGAAAAAGAAATATGCCATACCTATAAGAAGCGAGCTTAAAAATTCTGCTGAGGGGCATAAAGAAGACTTGACTAAAAGAAAGAAGAACTTTGTACTTGGCTGGAATTATTCAGCATTGAGAAACATCTCCCCAGATGACTATAAATGTATGCGATCTCAACCAAGAACATATTTATTTGTTAATTGTTTTGTTTTATTTTGCATTGCTTTTACAGGGCTGGGGAGGGAAGCTATGAGAAAGTTACAGTAGTACTAAATTTATCCTGGTTAAAATAAATATGAAAGGCTAGCCAAGAGAATTCTGAAACATAAAAGCAAAGGGAGAGTAAAGTGTCAGGACCATCCCTGTTCTGCATAATATGAAAGCATACTAGAAAGCTATAGAAATTAAAGTCATTTGGCATTGGCTTTAAATGGATGGATAAATCAACGAAACAGAATAGCAAGTTTAGATATAGAAGCCAGATATAATGCAAATGTGGAACAGATATATGAGTGATACAGATAGCATGTCAAATTGGTGATGAAAAGAAAGACTAAGCAATAAATAGTGAAAACCACAAACAAAATTGGATCTCTGTAACATTCCTTACGCTAACTTTAATTCCAGTTTGATCAAAGATGTAAATGAAAAAAGTTCTAGAAGAAAGCATAGGTGAATCTTTCTATAATCTTTGTATGGAGAAAGTCTTTTTAAAGAATAATTTAAGCCTTTAAGCCCAGAAGCCAAGAGGAAAAAAGAATGATAAAATTTACTGCATATACTTTTAAAGTGATGTAGAATTATATCCCAAAGAAAGTTAAATATTAAACAGTGATGGCATTTTAGCAGCATTTGTCAAGGGATTAATTGATTAGCATACACAAAGCTCTTATGAAACAGGATAAAGAACAGGTTGCATATGTATGGCCTTGATGGTGGTAATGGTTTCATGGGTATATACTTATTCCCAAGCTCAATGAATTGGGTGTGTTAAATACGTACAACTTTTTACATGTCAGATGGTAATAATAATAAATTAAAAGTTTTAACGTTGGGAAAAAAAAGGAAAAAGAGCATGAATGGGTAAAGGACATGAACAAACAGTTCACAGGGAAAAAATTTGTACACACACACCCACACACACACCTGAATCCAGTCCTGTTGGATTGGGACTTCAACATATGAGTTTTGGGAGGACACAATTCATAATTTACCTTCAATGGTGAATTCTACCAAATATTTAAGGGAGAAATAGTACCAGTTCTTCACAAACTTCTTCCAAGATATTGAAGATGAGGACATACTTCCCAGCTCATTTTAATGAGGCCACCATTAAACTCATACTGAAATTAAAGACATCATAAGAATTGAAAACTAGACTAAATAGCCTTCAGGAATGTAGTTATAAAAATTCTAGGCTTGGGCACAGCCTGTAATCCCAGTGCTTTGGGAGGCTGAGGTGAGTGGATTGCCTGAGCCCACGGGTTCGTGACCTGTCTGGGCAGTTTGGCAAGACCTCATCTCTACAATAAATCAAAAATTAGCCGGGTGTGGTAGCGCACGCCTGTAGTTCCAGCTACTTGGAAGGCTGAGGCGGAAGGATCGCCAGAGCCTAGCAGGTCGAGGCTGCGGTGGCCGGGAGTGGCCACTGGACTACAGTCTGGGCGACAGAGACTCCAACTCAAACAAACAAACAAACAAAAAAGGTGTCTTGTCGAGACCTCGTCTCTACAATAAGTCAAAAATTAGCCGGGTGTGGTAGCACGCACCTGTAGTTCCAGCTACTTGGAAGGCTGAGGCGGAAGGATCGTCGGAGCCCAGCAGGTTGAGGTTGTGGTGGCCGGGAGTGGCCACTGCACTCCAGTCTGGGTGACAGAGTGAGACTCCAACTCAAAAAAAAAAATTCTAAACAAAAACTTTAGCAAATCAAATCTGACGTTTTATAATACATCATGACGAATTGGTGTTTACCCAAGGAATGAAAGGTTGGTTTTTACACTTGAAAATCATTCACTATAATTCATTATATTAATAAGCTAAAAAAGAAAAACCATATGATCATCTCAATAGATGCAGAGAAAGCATTTGACAACACTTAACATCTGTTTCTCATGAAAACTCTTAGCAAACTGAAGGAACGTCCTCAACCTGACAGAGGGCTCTCCAAAAAACATAACTATCATACTTAACGGTGGAAGACCAAATGCTTTCCCCCTAAGACAAGAAAATTACATAATTGTAATAAGTGTTTCTACTCATACAACTTATTTGGCGGGAGAAGAATGCTTTGCAGTTAGTCTAATGTGCAGAAAGGTAGGCTCAAATATTCAGCAGTTTGTTGTATTGTGGGACTGAATGGATGGCATCAGATAAAAGGCAAAGCAGTTACATTAAGGTCCATTAAGAAAACTGCTGCCGCTCTCAGTTACCTTTGTGAGGTTTTAGGATATGGGAAGTTAGTTAGATCAAAACTGGGAAAACTATTTAAAGCTATTCTGAAATTCAGAAAGTTCAGATAGTACTGCCTAAACATCTGACAGAATTTGGAGCATCCAACTGAGGAACTTCAGTATTTTAGGAGGCACAGTAGAGAAGTGATACTTGATGTGTGTCCTCTAGAAAATTATTTTATTTTATTTATTTTTTTGAGTTGGAGTCTCACTCTGTCACCCAGGCTGGAGGGCAGTGGCACGCTCCCAGCTACTGCAGCCGTGACCTGCTGGGCTCCTGTGATCCTTTCGCCTCAGCCTTACAAGTAGCTGGAACTACAGGCACGCACTACCATGCCCGACTAATTTTTTATTTGTTGTAGAGACAAGGTCTCACCAAGTTACCCGGATGAGTCTCGAACCCGCGGGCTCAGGCAGTCCTCTCACCTTGGCTTCCCAAAGCGCTGGGATTACAAGCTGAACCACCGAGCCCGGCCTAGAAAATTATTTTAATTATGCATTTCCTGGCTTAGGAAATAAAAACTGTTACATAGATCAAGGCCATTGTTCTTTACTTAAAACAGCTGTTTTTAGCAAATAAAGAAAATTTAGCGTTCCCTTTTTTAGTCTCACCGGGTTAGTTTTTGTATCTTTTGTATATGCCTCTGAGAGTTTCTCCTCAGAGTTTTATAAAACATTGGGTGTTATAGCGTTTCATTAAACTTGATAATATATCATTCTGGATTTAAATAATCTTTTTACCAGAACTTTTGAGGAAATAATGTTTTCTCATATATGCACTTTTCATGGGGTTTCAGTCAACACTTACTGCTTATCATGATTTATAATTTACTATAAATATTTTTAAACTAATGACACGTCTTTTTCCTTTTGTTTGTAGATAACATTTGAGTTAGGTTAATGGATAAATACTCTTCCATAATAATATACCTTACTTTTAGATTGTTGATTGAATTAATCCTGTTACCTACATTTATGAAGTTTTTAGTTTGAAGTCTGTAGTTTGTATTCCTCCTGATATTCAAATAAGGATTTTTTACTTCTGTTCATTCCTTCATTTCAGAAAAAATGAAGATGAATAAAACATCTCTCTCTGGCATTAACCGGAGAAACGTTTTTGGAGAGAACTTACTGTATAGGGCTGCTCTGCATGATGATGCTGACCTTGTTCATCATTGTATAAAAAGCGGTGGAAATGTTAATCAGCCAAGTTATGCTGGTAGGTTAGGGTTGCCACCCATGCTTATCCTGAGAGTGGTTTGTGGTTTTAGTTGAATCACTCCTGTGAAAGTATAGCAGAGTGGGACCTAAGGCAAGTTCCAAACAGAAGGCTTTCAGGTAACTTTCCTACTTAAGTAGCTCATCCCCACTGTCTCCTCAGTGGATGGCAGGAGAAGAGCATTATATTTATCCTTCGAAGGTTATTCCAGGTGGGTCATGCACAGGGGCATACAGAAGGCAGATTCCTGGGGCTGGCTTTGCTGTGAAACTCAGCCTTGAATGGAGGAGAAATGAGGTCAAATGCTGGAAAAAGCTGATGGCACGCTGAGCTACCGGGAAAAATTTGTAATGAAATGACAGATGTAAAGCAGGAGCAGTGTCTAGGGAAATGGAGAGAATAGAGTCTGAAGCCCAGAGAGTGGGAAGGGGAGCTCAGAAAGATGAGTCTTTCTGCAAGCCTTGGTCGCTGGTGTGATCTTTCTTCTGGGTAGAAGCTGACATGTTCTACTGGAGAGGAGTGATTTCTTAAGGGTACTTAAATTCTTAACATACTAAACAGCACTAGGCCAACCTGGATGGTGCTTTTGGGTGTCCATACTTTTCCTATAGTGTCTAAACGTGATCAGCTTCTGAAACAGTGCAAAAAGTCTTATGGTACACAGAGGTGGCACAACAAAATCCATGGTCAAGCAGATGATTACACGTGTACCTCTAGTACTACTTTAACAAGGCCTAGGTTGACACTGTAATCAGGGTTTTATGGATTTCCCAAGTATCTCATAATGTGTAACTTTTAATTGGTCTTTTTTTTCTGTGCCAGCATTAACATTCTCAGTGACTGCACCTTGCTTGTCTACAGCCAGTTAATATATACCTTTTTCTTACTGCCACGGGCACTTCTGTAGCCTTCATGAATTCTTTATCATATTTTCCATGCTTTATGAACTCTCGTGTTCTCTTCTTTCTCACTTTGCATCTTAGCTCCATCTTTATTTCTGCTTACCATATCCCACAGAATTACAGATGGCAATGTTTCCACAGGGTTGTCTGCAAACCAGTTTCAACAGAATCACCTGCAATGTTTGTTTAGAAATGCAACCATCACTTTGCTTCCCAAAAGTAACAATCTCTCTTTCCCTTCCTCCTTCCCTTCCTCCCTCCCCCATCTCTCTAACACACACACACACACACACACACACACACACACACACACACACACACACATATTCAAGAACTACTGTCAAGAGGTGTGTGACTTCCATGAAACATCAGTTCAATATAGTGTGCTTTTACAGAATGCCTCCTATGTATCAGATACTGTGAAAACAAAAAGATTAATAATTTCTACTAGGATGATTTAAATGTTTATTTTGTGATACAATTAAAAAAGGCTAAGTGCCTTGTAAGAAAGAAATTAAATGCTGTAATAATAGGCCTGTGGTATTTTCATAGGTAACACTGGCATTTTAAAGGCCCCATTTATATTTTATGATGTCTTTGTCTTCTATTAAAAAATTAATTGCATTCATTAATTCTTTATCAGAACACAAGGTGACAATAAGGAAGTAAGCTAAAAGAAAAACTCTTAATACCCAAAATAATTGTTGGATGTAATGTTTATAAATGTCAGTTAGATGAAGGTGTTTATGTTGTTTGAATAATCTGTGTCTTTACTGATTTTTTTGTTTAGTTAATTTATCATGTTCTTAGATGTTAAAATAGTCACAACTGTGATTGTGGAATTGTCTATTTCTCTCTTTTTTTAAACCAATTTTTGCTTCTTATATTTTGAAGCTCTGCTATTAGGTACAATACACAGCTGTGATTGTCAAGTCTTCTGATAAACTGACTCATTGTTATGAAATATCTTTATGGCTTGGTAATACATTTTATCTTAAAGTCTACTGTATATAATATTAATATAGATATTCTGGCCTTTTTGTGGTTATTGCTTATTTGCTATATATTTTTTATCCTTTTCAACCTGTGTCTTTATATATTAAGTGTGTTTCTTGTAGATAGCTTTTTAAATTCATTTGTTTCCTATTCTGCCAGTTGTACCTTTTAATTGGAAATTGGAGTGATTAGTTAATTTACTATAAATAGTTGGATTTAGATCTACCATTTTACTGATTGTTTTCTGTGTACTTAATCTGTTTTTTGTTTTTTTGTCTTTGGGGTATTTTTTTCATGGTTACTCTGGGTATCAAGCATATACCTCTTTTGCTTCACAGTTATCTTAGAGTTAATATTGTAATATTTCATAGGAAATGTTAAGAACATGGAAATTTATATATATTCATGTATATGGTTCATTTATTCTCTCACCCTTTATGGTATAGCTATTATTTGTTATATACATTATAAATATTAAAATATAATGTTGTTTGTTGCTTTAAACAGCCATGTACCTTTTAAGGAACTATATAGGAAAAGCAAACCTCTGTTAAGTATATATATTTTTGGTGATCTTCATTTCTTCCTCAAGACTATAATTAGTATTATAGAAGAAACTCGATCTATCACATTTTATGGTAGTAGTTCTCAACTGTGGTGATTCCTCCTTCTCCTATCCCATGCACTCAGGGGATTTTTGTGAACATTTTCAGTTGTTACAACTGGGACAACTGGGATAGGAGTTGCTCCTGGCATCTGGTGGGTTGAGGCCAGAGATGCTGTTAAACATTCTGTGATTCTCAGAATAACCAAGAAACATGAAGCCCAAAATGTCAGGCCTGAGATTGAGAAACCCTGGTTTATGGAGAATTTCTGAAAAGAGCTAGTGATATACTCTTTTAGTATGCAATTTAAGACTGTGTTTGGTGGCTCACTCCTGTGATCTCAGCACTTTAGGAGGTGAGGCAGGAGGATTGCCTGAGCCCATGGGTTCGAGACCAGCCTGGGCAACTTGGTGAGACTTCGTCTCTACAATCTATCAAAAAATTAGCCAGGCATGGTAGCACACACCTGTAGTTCCAGCTACTTGGAAGACTGAGGCGAAAGGATCGCCTGAATCCAACAGGTTGACGCTGAGATGACCGTGAGTGTGCCACTGCACTCCAGCCTGGGCAAGGGAGTGAGACTCTGACTAAAAAAAAAAAAAAAAGTAGAGAAGGGGTCTTGCTATGTTGCTGAGGCTGGTCTGAAACTCCTAGGCTCAAGTAATACTCCTGCCTCAGCTTTCAAAAGTATTAGGATTATAGGCATGAGCTACCGTGCCCAGCCATAAATTGCATTTTTTTCTTTCTCTTTTTTTTTTTTTGAGTTAGGGTCTTACTCTGTCACCTAGGCTTGAGTGCAGTGGCATGATCATGGTTCACCACAGTCTCAAACTCCTGGGCTTAGGTGATCCTCCCACTTCAGTCTCCTAAATAGCTGGAGCCACCATGCCTGGCTTTCCCTTCTCTGCTTTTTAAAAATGCAACTTTTAGGTGTTCTTACATCTATCATATGATTGATTGGAATTTGATACATGTATATAACCTATACCATTGTCTTTGACTAACAAAGTAAAAGAATTTTATGTGTATGGCTGGTTTTCTTGCAGTAGTTTGTGGTTTGCTAGCTGAACTACTATAAACAGCTTTATTATTATTATTAATATTATTATTATTATCTTATTTTTTTGAGTTGGAGTCTCACTCTGTCACCCAGACTGGAGTGCAGTGGCCGCTCCCAGCCACTGCAGCCTCCACCTACTGGGATCCGGCAATCCTTCTGCCTCAGCCTCCCAAGTGGCCAGAATTACAGGCACACGCTACCATGCCCAGCTGATTTTTTTCTTTATTGTAGAGATGAGGTCTTGCCAAGTTGCCCAGGCGGGTCTTGAACCCCTGGGCTCAGGCAATCCACTCACCTCAGCGTGGGATTACAGGCTGAACCACCAAGCCCAGCCTCAGCTTTTTTAAAGAAGAAGAAAAAGAAATATATACTTTTGAACTGACTGATGTGTAATCCAACCATCTGGCTTACTTTAATAGAAATACCTTGAACAAGAAATAAAAATTCCCTCATCTCTGCTATTTTTTAAAAATGCAACTCTGCTAAAAGTAACCTGCAACCAGCATTTTCTATGAGTTGATAATGACCTCTATACAGCCTTTTTATTTGGAGAGGTCATGATTGCATTCAAATATTTTACTTTTTTCATATTTTCCTACAACAAAATTGAGGGGTAGGAGTTTGATTTGTCCTTCAGATTGATTGAACCCCCCCAAATAATACAGTGAGCTATTATGGTGGTATTATCTTGTCTTATAACACAAATATTTATAAAGAAACAAGCTAGAATGAGAGGGTTTTTTTAAGGGTAGCACAAACCATTACTCAGATCCTGAATATAAACTAATTCCATTTTGTTTGTATAATAGGTTGGACAGCACTTCATGAAGCTAGTGTAGGAGGGTTTTATCAGACAGCAAGTGAACTATTAAAAGGTGGAGCAGATGTAAATTTCAAAGGAATGTACCAGATTACTCCCCTATATGATGCTGTGTTGCATGGACATTATAAGGTATTGTGGTGCTTTTGTCTGCAGAGCAAATGATACATTTGCAAATGTTGAATATCTCTTGAACCATACAGTAGAAAAAAATACAGGAATTTCAGTTTCATTTCATTCTGCTAGTGAATATTCAGAGTTTATAGTTACATTTTACTGTGTGATGCGTTTGTTGTGCCTAATTTGGTAGATGCCATTTTATTAACTATACAGCATATTTTTTGGTCACACACAGTATTTTTTAACTTGTCATTTTTTAAGACTCTTTTCATATGGTGCTTTATAGAGTTTAAAACAATATTTTCTTCTTATAGAGTATTATACAATGATGTCCAGTCCTGATCAGAGGTCTACAGGTTTGGAAATTCTAATGTCACATTCAGAGTCAGCATAAGAGATGAAAACTTTCCAGAGTTAATGATCAGCCAGTGCACACCAGTACAGCTGTACTGCTGGCTAAAATATCAGAATACTGTAATTTCATGCCAGTTGGTTAATAGTAAATGCAATAAATAGTAACATTAAGATTATGAATTCTAGTATACATTGTTTATCTCATAAATCATATATATATATATATGAGCTTCCTACACATTTTCCTACATTGCAGGACTGAGCACTTGCTGAAGATATCTTGTTACTTTTTTGGGAATTGGAAGTTGCCTTGGGGTTCAAAAACTTCTAGAGTGGGAAAGGGGGCTAATTAGATAGGCTCAGGAAGATTTGTTCTGCATATTTCCTGAAGAAATGCCTAACACAGGTTGCCTTGGGGCAGGCTTCCAGGAGCCGTGGCCATAGACAGAGCATAGTCCTTCATAATGTGAAACACTATTTCAGAAGGGTTTAGGCAGTTTTGCTTTTTTTGATAATATATTTATTGATGGTGCGTGGTCATTTTTGCATATTGTATAGAGGACTTTGGGGAGAGAATTCTGCTTAGGACCTAAAGTAATGACCAGAAGAATGCAAGCTTGGACAGTGACATTGTGAACATTTTCTCTCTCCTTTATCCTTTCTTCAACTCTGGCTTTCAGCAGAGAAACCTCACTTCAAAGCTCTTCTTTCTCTCTAGCCTCAAGGCCCATTTGTTCCCTCACTTGCCAGGGCTGATCTGTCCTTGGGTTTTCTACCTTTGGGTAATGTGAACCCTGGAGTACTTTATTTTTTCTTCTTTTCTTTCCCAATTCTTCCTTTGCTCTCCTTGGCAACTTGGCTTTAGTCAATTTCTGCCTCACAGGCTAGCATTGGCTGTGTCTTATTTGGCCTTTGCAGATATACAGTCTTGTCTGGTTCCCTTGATGATATAAAATGAACCGCCAACCACCTGACTCATAGGGCGCCAGTTCCAGAATCCAGTTCCCTATTTACCACAGTCCCTCTTGCTAGCCTCCAGTCTTCCTACAGCTCATGTGCTCCTGACCATGGCGTATTCTGACTAATGGTGGGAGAAAAGAGAATGACAAGGCAGGGATGGAAGTGTAGGGATGGTCATAAGATTTAAAACTAAAACCCAGTGGACAGGATGAAGTCACAGTCTTTTTTTTTTAACTTCCATATTTTTTTGGCTAGGAAGAGCCAACAAGCTACCTCCCCCTGTCCAAGAGAGTGACAAAACTCCAGTTCAGTTCTGGACTGACATAGCATTAGCAACCAGCTTTGAGAATTGAAGTGAAATGGGGCATGGTTTTGGAGGATGGATAGTGGAAACCTCAGGTGAGGATCTGGGCCTACCTTGAGGAATCTCTTAGACGAGGCAAAGATGATCAGACAAATGGCCTGGACTCTTGGTGTGAGCGGGCTCCAGTGCCTTAGGTGTCTAACTAAAGATGTCAACAGGAAAGTCTTAGGAACCTGATGCTGGTCATAGCACCTGAAGAGTGAACTATTAACATTCCACAGAGTTGAAGAAACTCGAATATATTATCTTACAGTCATTGACTGTTATGTTGGAGAGATACTAAAAGATAGCATCCTATTTTCTAAAAAGTGAAAAAATCATACCCACATAGTATGTGATTATATTTATTTGAAATAGCCATAACAGTCAAATTTATAGAACAGATCAGGGATGGGAAGTAGGGAGTGGAGAATGTGGAGTGACAGCTAATAGTTAAAGGGTTTCTTTTGGAGGCAATGAAAATGTTCCAAAATTAGACTGTATTGATATATATCTCTTTTAATATGCTAAAAAATAATTATATCCTTGAAATAGGTGGATTGTGTGGCTTGTGAATTACATCTTAAAACTATTAAAAATAAATGCGTTTTTTAAAAGTGGCAAAACTGGAATTTGAGAAACACAGATGATCGGCTCAGCGCTGTTCCTTAGAAAAACCTGCAACATTTATGAAATATATGGTTGGGAGACATAGGCAAGAATGTGTGGTCTTTGAGAATGTTAGGCATCACTAAGAACAAGCCATGCCAGACGAACCTTTATTTCTCTTTTATTAGGCTTACTTGTTAGCAGGTGAGGAAAACGACATTGATATAAGCTATCACAATTTTAGCGAGGCTTTTATTTGGTGAGGTGTCCTATGATGTGTGTGTGTGTGTGTATGTGTGTGAGACGTTATTGGGAATGTTATTGGAATTCACATATATTGCAAAAATAACTCTCAGACATGGTGATTATTCAGTCTGTGTGTCTGCAGTGAGCTCTCTTGTAAGAATTTATTATGCATTCTATTCTGTAAAGAGTCAGAAGCACCTCACTGAGTTGGAACATGGACTGTGTTTTGTTGTTAGAGTATTTTTAAGAAATCCCACATAGCATATCATTTTACCCCTAAATACTTGAGCCCGCCCCTCTAACAGTTAAGGACATTTTTAAATACCTACAAAATAATCTCACCTAATTAAAAACTAGTAGTTTCCTAATACCATTTAATACCCAGTCTACAGTAAAATTTCCTAGGTTATCTAAAAAATATGTGTTTATAGCAGATTTTTATTTGAATCAGGATTCATCAAGGTCATACATCATATGTGTTTATGTCTCTTACAGATGCTTTAATCTACAGCAGTTCTTCCTTTATTCTATATACAAAGAGGTTTTTTGTTTTGTTTTGTTTCATTTTGTTGAGTTGAGTTGAGTTCTCACTCTATTACACAGACTGGGGTGCAGTGGCATATCATGTCTCACCACAGCCTCGACCTCCTGGACTCAAGTGATCCTCCTGCCTCAGCCTCCCGAGTGGCTGAGACCATAGGTGTGAATTACCACATCCAGCTAAATTTTTTAAAATTTTTTTGTAGAGATGAGGTCTCACTCTGTTGTTCAGGCTGATCTCGAACTGGGCACAAGCAGTCCTTCTGCTTCAATCTCCCAAAGTAATGGAATTACAGTGAGCCACTGTATGTAGCCAGGAAGGCTTTTTAATTGTCTCCTATTTGTTAAAGCAACTTGGTTATTTGTCCTATAGAATTTCCCAAATTCTGGATCTGGCTAATTTTATTTTTGTGGTGTTGTTTAACTTCCTTCTTCCGATATTTTCTGTAAATAGTTCTGTTTTAATGAAAAGTCTATTAGAGGTCAAAGTCTGGATGCTAAGTATGCTCATTACAGTCGGATGTTATTGCTTTTAAGCATTTTCAGTGAAATACATTATTTTAGAAAGAAAAAATATGAGTTCATACTGATTTTTATTTCAGACTTAATAGTATAGATTTATACTTCACTTTCATTCTCTGCTTGTATCTCTTTTTTTCTTATGCTAAATATTTGTTTCTTTTTCTTTCTGTGTTTTTTGAAAGCAGGATTTATTAAGAGAACAGAAAAGCTCCCATAGTGGGAGGGGACCTGAGGGGGTTGCCTAAATATTTGTTTCTTAATTCAGTAATTGAATTACATATTTCTTTATCATATAATGTACTTACAGTATGACTGTTAATAAAACTACTAATGAAGTTTTTAGGTAGTTATTTTTATTCTTAGCATATATCCCATTAGAGATGAATAGTCAGAATACTGTCTACTGTCTTTTCGAGGACAGGCTGAGTATTCTTTGTCCAAAATGCTTGGGATGAGCAGCATTTAGAATTTCAGATTTTTTCAAATTTTGGAATATATGCCTTATCCTATGTTGTCATGAGGCTTTTTGGCATGTTTAACCATATCTTTATACCACAGAACAGAGAATAAGCAAAACACCACAGTGAGTAATGCACGTAGGCTGGGCTTCATGTGGGTCATCACGGGAAACCTGCCATTGGCATGTCTGGTGTGCACCTGTGCCACATTATTGCCCTTTTGGGTGTCCTTGCATGAGGGAATTCGGGCATGTCCAGAAAAGCCATCTCACAGCTGAAGGGTGCCAAGAGTTTCTTTTTTCCCTTGTGAGTAAATTGTGAGTAAATTGTGTTTTGTACACCAGTGTTTTGACTGCAACTCATCACAAGAGGTCAGGTGGGGAATTTTCCACTTGTAGCCTCATGTGCTCAAAGTTTCAGATTTTGCAGCATTTCAGGTTTCAGATTTTCAGATTAAGGTTATAACAGCCTTTACTTGAAAGAATTTACTTCTCTGTCTGCTAGCTTCTCATGCAGGGAGGTCAGCTTATTCACGAGGGAAGGGGAAGCACTTGATTTGATAGCACGGTTGCAGGTGAAAATCCACAGGCAGCCTTTGAATAGAAGTGTATTTCCTTAAGGAACTTGCCTTAAATAAATGAGAACTGTGATGCCAGCCACTTACTGAGATTTCTCTTCCTACTTCAATGGCTCCAGATTCATAACCTGTGGTGGTGGCTTTAAAATATATCTACACATTCTTTAACATTCCTCTCTTCAAAAGTTAGAACCTGATTCCCCTTCTCAGGTGTGTGGGTTGGAGTTTTAAGTGACTTGCTGTTAACAAAAGGACATAACATAAATCACTTCTAAGGTTAGCTTTAAAAGTATTATAGCCTCCTCCTTGTTTTCTCTCTTGGTTCATGAACCCTGGGGGAAGCCAGATGTCATATTGTGTGGATACTCAAGCAGTTTTTTGGAGAGGTCCGTGTGGCAATGAA